GGATGTAGCGTCCTAACAGGATGTAGCGTCCTAACAGGATGTAGCGTTAATGCTAACAGGAAATGGTTTAGCCGTAAACAACAGACGCTCCGTTGAGCGGGCTGGCCCGCTGCAGTGGAGCGTCCGTTTTTTTAGATGTGGCCGAACTGCCGCGGTCATTTATTGCAAAGAGAAGGACAGAAGTTCATAAAACACGGTTTTACAAACAGTTTGAAGTTGATGCCTTCATTCACATACACTGATGCATGTGGAAACCAAACAGGCACCAGAGACAACATTTATAACTTTTTAACATAAAAGTTACAAATGTCTCATCTTGAACAAGCATGAAGGCGACAGTGGAAAGGAAAAACTCCCTCACGAGGAAGAAACTTTAGCAGAACCAGGATCAGGACAAGAGGACACATGGTCCACTTTTAAGACTGGACTTAAGACTTTCCTTTTTGATAAATCCTATTGTTAGGGTCAGCTTGTTGTGCTGCTATAGGCTTAGACTACTGGAGGACAAACTGACCTCATTTCATTAAATTGTTAAAATTTAACAGTTTTAATTTTATACTATTTATATCTTAACATGTGATTCTTGACCTGCCATTGTGTATCTGTTCTACATCGGGGAAACAAAACAGCCACTGGCCAAAAGGATGGACCAGCACAGAAGATCAACATCATCAGGCCAGGACTCTGAGGTCTACACTCATCTCCAGGTCAGAGGTCACTCTTTCAGGGATGAAGATGTTCACATCATGGACAGAGAGGAACGATGGTTTGAGAGAGGAGTAAAGGAGGCCATCTTTGTGAAAAGAAATCGTCCATCATTAAACAGGGGTGGAGCCTCCGGGTTCAACTGTCCCCCTCTTACAATGCTGTGATTGCTAGTATCACTCAGCCCTCTGTGAACAGTAAACAGCCATCAGGTGCTAATGATCCATTGTTAGGCTGATGGTCCTTCTTGAGCATGTGATCAGCTGGTTCTGGTTGTCAGCAGCAAACTGGTTGATCCACTCTGAGAAGGTGCTATTTAAGAGACTGAGCTGAATACAGCACCTCAGACTGAGGAAGTCCTCAGGATGAGAGACGAAACGTTTCTACAAGAAGAATCCTGCAGAGGACCTGACTTTGTTAGATAACAAGTCTAACGTGCACGTTTTGGTCTGTGGGAGGAAACCCTCGCAGCACGGAGACAACATGCAGACTTCACCCAGAAAGGTCCTGGACCGGGATTTGAACCTGCAACCTTCTCACTGAGAGGCAACAGCTCTACCCACTGAGCCACTGACTTTATAAAAAACAGTGTTTTGTGGATAAAAGTTACTACATAAAGAAAAATCCTTAATTTGGTGTAAAATTGTGTTTTTATTGGAAAACATAAAAAAGTATAGCAAGATTTTCTAAAGAAATAAAATGTAAAGTTTGAATATAAATAATAATATCTTTATTATAGTTATGTTTTTGTTTTACTCAGACGTCAATAAAAACAAACAATCTACAGACGGCTGCAGTTAAAAACATCATTTATTAAAGTGTAAATGTTTATCAACGCAGAAATGTTCAGATGAACGTCCTTTGATCTTTATCTGAATGGAAGAGTTCAAAGGAAACCACTTCCTGTTTCCTCCTGCGGACAGAGATATGTTATTGGGACGATGCTTCACTCCACTCAGTTTTTCTCAGCAGGTTGTTCTGAGGCCGCAGGGTGGCTCGGCTCCTCCAGAGCTCCGCAGGAGGAGGAGGTGACGGCCGGGGTGGAGTTGACGTTGATGGGCACGATCCTCTCCTTACCGGTAGGTGGGCTGTCTCGGGGCGCCTGGATCTGCAGCCGGCCCCCGACCAGCGAGCAGGTGACGGTGTCGGAGGCGACGCCGTCCGGCAGGTCGAACTCCTGCCTGAACTCCTGACACCTGTAGGAGTAAGAGCCCTTCCCGTCCTCCTGCTTCTTCTCCGTCCTGCCGCTCACCCTCAGCTTCCTGCCCACCTGTTTGACCGACAGCTCCTCGGGGGAGAACTCGGTGGTGTCCAGGCTGAGGGCAAAGCTGCCGCCGTCGCCCCCCAGCTCCTGGAAGGCGATCGGCTTGAAGACGCCCGAGGAGGAGGCGCTGTGGTCGATCTCCTCAAAGATCTTCTGGTGCAGCCTCTCCATGAACTCCATGCTCTGCCTCATCTCCTGCATGTGGCGGATCATCTCTTGCTCCATCTGGTAGAAGAGCGGCCGGGTCTCGGGCCAGAGGCTGCGGACGGGCCAGTGCCGGTCCAGAAGCGGCCTCATGGCGGCCGGGACCGGCTGGAAGACGCTGGGACTCAACATCCTGCAGAGTTTCTGAAAGGTCTGGATTCAAATATGCTGCTTCTTCGTCTGGATGTTGTCCTGGTCCGGCTGTTTTTATACACGACCCGGTTCTGACCCAGCCCACAGCAGCATTCCTGAGGGAGCGAGTTCAGCTGCTTAATAAAGACTGTGACACGTCCCGCAGCAGAAATAGAACAAAGCTGAGCCGGGCGGCATGTGGCACTTCTGCTTCATCACTCACTGCACCCGGACCAGAACCGTGTTCTGACCCGACCCTTCAGACTCGCTGTCTGACCTGTGAAGGTCCTCACATGGCCTGAGAAGTCTGGAGTCCCCACAGTGGTACCTAAACAAGAACACACACCGGGTTCTCCTCATTTGTGGGAACAATAAAAACGTGAAGATGAACCTGAAAACACCCGATCATAACTTTACTCCTCCACACTTCTGAAGAACGTGTGAGGGTTCTCCGTGTGTCCACGGTCACACGTGGTCCAGGTTCTGAAGAGACCGTTTCCTGTTCGTTAATGTGGACATTCAGCTGTTCATGTTTAAAAGGACTTTAAACTCATCCACAGTGCACGACAACCGTGACGCTTTAAAAGACCAAGTTAAAACACGTTAAATTGTCCGAAACACATTTTTAACCTAAACACATGAAACAAAATGGATAAATAAATAAAACAGGTTTACTAAAGAAACAAGTAACCTACAACAACACATTTAACACAAAAGTCTTTCTGCAAGTAAAGTCAGCTTTATTTCATTTAATTCACTTTATTTCAAACAGACGCAGTCTCAAAGTGCCAACAGAAACTTCATGGATCAGTCCTTGGGAACCTTTTTTATTTCGGATGTGACGTATTCTTTTACGAACGGCACCGAGGAGTTCATATTTAAATCCCTGATTTCAGTCAATGGATTCTCCAGGAAATAGTCGGACCCCGGTTTAGCCTCAGTTCACTTCCTGCCAGCTGCTCCCACCTTTTTCCGTTCGCGGCCAATCAACCAAACTGAGATCCTGATTTTTTATTTCTTCCCGTTCGTATCAAAGCTGGACAACGGAGACACGGTCCACAGATCTGTCCCCCACCAGAGACACGTATGTAGACGCCTGAGCGCTGAATCATACGTCGAAATCGCCGCCATATTGGATGTGGCAAAAGTGACGCAATAAGAGAAGATCTGAAGCGGCGACCTGCTCGCTGAGAGGCAGCAGCTCTACCCACTGAGCCACCGTGCTGCCTGCTGGTTGAAAGGATTAAATTAATTAGTTTATTAGTTTTATTCTTGTTAAAATCACAACAAACAGCAAAAGATGCAGAAAACAGTAAAACTCTGTTTGTGAAGAAACATAAGACGGTCCTGGACCAGGGAGGACCAAACCGTCTCAGCTCAGACCCACTGGCCCCCCAAGAAATTCTGGTTCTGCTCTGACACCAGGAGGACTTCACAAAAACTGAAGGGAGCAGACTCCTTGTCTCAGAGACAGTGTTGGACAGATTTGGACTCTGTGTCCTGCTGTCTCAGAGACAGTGTTGGACAAAGTGCAGCCTCAATGATGTTGTGACCTCTGTCTGCAGCTGGTGGGACAGAAGTGGACGGAGCCTGGGACACCAGCAGAGGACCGTGGTGTCCGTCAAGGCTGTCCCCGGGCCGCAGCAGAACCTCCAGTTGGTGGTTCTCCCAGCTCAGGTCCAATTGTTGGTTCCTCAGAAGATCTCGGTGCTGCAGAGCCACATTCAGAAGATGCTGGAGGTCCTCCACCTCACCTGGCGTCTGCAGAGAGACACAAAGTGTCCTCGTCAACTGTCCTCTATGAACAAACAGCTCGGGTTTTGGACCCGGTCCTGGTTCAGCTGCTGGTGACGGTCTCACCTGTCCGTCCTCTTTCATGGGTCCAGATGATGAAAATAGGACTTCCTGTCTGCTCTGCAGCTTGTGGCAAATCTCTGCTACATGCAGAACCTTCTCACCCTGAAACAGAAGGAAGACGAGTGAGACGAGCCCAGGAGGGACGGCCCAGGACAGACGGGGTCAAAGTTCACCTTGCTGATGACGGTGTGCAGGGTCTTGGCGGCGGCGCCGCTCCAGTCACTGAGCTCGACCAGCTTCTTCCTCGCTGCTCCACGATCTCGCACCAACTGGTCCCTCAGCTGGAGACATTTCTGCCTGATACTGTGCACAGCTGTTCTCAGGTCCTGCTCCATCAGGACCTTCTCCGTCTTTGTGGAGACAATCTGCTGCTTCAGCTGGGCAATCTGGACCTACAGGAGGACCAGAACCGTTCAGAACAGAACTCAGAGTCAGCAGCTGTGATGTCCTGTCAGGACTCTGACCTGCAGCCTTGTGATGTTCTGCATCTTTGTCTTCATCTGCTTCTTGTCTCTGGAGATCTGCTCATCAAGTGTCTTAGATTTGTGTTTGCTGAGGTGACAGGCCTGGAGGTTCTGGGACATTCTGTCCTTCATGTTGTATGTCTTCAACAGAAACGAGATACACAGAACTGTCCAAACTGCTCTGAGAACCTTAGACCAGCACTGAAACATCTAATACCATGTCCTCCTGATTGCTCAGACACCAAGAAAGTGACCCACTGGACAGCAGCTCGTCCTCGTCCATTGTCTCTTTGCTCTCTACTGGCAGCTGCTCATCCTGGACTTTGATCTTCTGCTTCTCCAAATCAGACAGCATCCTGTCTCTGCAGATACAATAGACACAAACAGTGGAGACAGAGACACATACGGTGGAGACAGAGACACGTACAGTGGAGACAGAGACACATATGGTGGAGACAGAGACACGTACAGTGGAGACAGAGACGTGTACACTAGAGACAGACACGTACACTGGAGACAGAGATGTGTACAGTAGAGACAGAGACACGTA